ATTACCACACCAGGACAGGGTATTGCCATTTTAGTTTCGACTGTGTTAGTCTCGACTTTGTCCCGATTGAGGAATTTTGCGGCAACTTGTGAACGACCACTGTCCAGGTCGAACTTGCTTCCCAAAAATAGAGGCGATCGCGACGGAGAGAGGTGGAACGTTGCTGAATTACGACGGGTTGCCGTAAAAGTGCATGCGACGAGAGGAACAACGAACCGTTTTATTGGAGTTGCCGCAACAAACCTTAATAGAAAGCAGAACTAACAACTCATTCGTCTGCAAGTTGTATTACTATGCTTTGAAGTAACCGTACCACCGCGAGGGACCCGACCGAGACCTTCATCGTCTAAACATCAGTTGTCTGCCAAAACCTTTTTCTGCGTTTGGCATCGACAATATTTTCGTTTTTGATCACTCCTTTATGCTACAGTGTAAAACCGTAAAACTCCACATAAACATCTTTTGGAGTACTCCTTTCGCCGTTAGTGATGCGACCTTGTTTGAGATGCCGCTTTGTCGCCACTTCGACATCGATGAAATAAAGATTTCGCAGGCTGAAGGTGGCGCCACGTTTACGAAAATCTTAAAAAAGAGGGCGGCACCTGCCGCATTGACAGCCTAGTGCAGTGGCCCGAACGCGAGTTTTGAATTCTCGGACCTCTTATACCGGAGTAGTAAAGTTCCGTTCCAAATGATTTCCCAATTCGAGTACATTTGTGCGTATGCGTTATCTCTATCAGTCTCAAAACAAATATTACGTGGTATTTATGCCTAGCATAAATACAACTGCTTAAATGTATGTGCGTATTAGCTCTTCTATTAAAGCATGGAGTTCTACCGTTCTAATTGCACAGTCGTCAGAAAGTATAGCTAGTTACTTATGATTTCGGGTCGTAGATTGTTTTATCTTTCCCCGCACTGTAAATGAGACCAACTGTCCAATGGACAAGTCGCCCTATGACGAATTTCCCTATCATGCGATCCATCCCGTTTGCAGTCGACCTGTGCGAGTGCGCACGTGACAAATCGTCCTCATCTCGCCCAGCAGGCTGCTTTCAGATTTGTTTACTGAAATAAGAAGAATTATCTTTTACTGTGCAATCGCTTGGCCCGCTACGCAGGCGCGTAACAAAAAAATGATTTGAACGGATGTACCGTATCCGGTTACCTCGTGGCTTGGGTTTCCGTGTCTACCCAGGGCGTCGTCCGTTCTATGCACGTACCGGTAGCAGGTGGCTCTATGCGAATCAGGTTTGGCGGTCTCGTCCTTGAACGGAATGCGATGATGACCTTGGCGAACGGGTTCGTCCACCAAGTAGCCTTCGGGCAAGCGGTCGCCTAATTTAAGATCCCCCGAAATTGGTGCATTCCGCAAACATGAAGACGTCAGTTGTTTCAAAACGCTTGACTGGCGCAACCGTAACGGAGAATTGATTGTCGTTGCGCCGCCAACTCTGCATTGGCGGGGATACAGGCACAAAGTGAGCTAGAGCGCTTATGGGACGCCCTTTCGTCCGAGGAAGAGGGCTAGTGTACCGCACGCTGCCGCCCTCCTGCGACAACGACGGTCGTTTCCCGGACTGGACGACGAAGACGGGAAACCATTGCGCTGCTCTGTTGGAGCACGTGCAGTTATTCTCGTTCGAAAAGTTGGTAACTGGGCGGAAGCCCACCGAACAAAATCTTTTCGGAGATAAGCTCACCGGAGATGAGCTCAGTTTAGATAAGCTCACTGGAGATAAGCCCATCGGATCTACGCTCGCCGGACATAAGCTCACTCAGGATCAGCTCACCGGACATAAGCTGACAGAGACAATCTCACCGGACCTAAGATCACCGGAAACACGCTCAGCAGACAAAAACAGATGCCGGCATATTTTATTTCAGTGAGTTGTTTTGCATGCTTTAATAAAATGGTGAGATCATGTCCGGTTCCGGGAGTGTGCGGTGAGCTTATATCCGGTAAGCCGAAACGGTAGACCGCCTCCCCTAAAACGCAGCTGGGAATGTAAAAAGATGTAACTCGTTCTCCTGCACAGACCGAATGCTTAGTTAGGCCGTTAGGAAGTGGTAGAGAAAATCGAAAGGATCGTTATTTTTGCTGTCCCCCTCTCTGTCTTCGAGCACCAGGCAGCCCTTCCCAGCACAATAGAGTCATCAGGTTTCTTGATATCGGCATAAGGGCGCATGCCTTCCGCGTAAGTTGGCCTCGGTAACAGCGTAGCGAAATTATTCGATCACGATGTACCGCTGCTGTTGGCGTTAGCTAACGTTTCTCTTCTTTTCTGCTCTCACGAGCTTGTCGGCTTCACAATGCCCCATTTGCACTGCTGGCACAAATCGCACTAACGGCAGTTTTATCTCGACAGGAAACTTCTGTATCGTTTCAAAACGTGCAGTGGGCACAGCTCGACTCCGCGACTTCTCTTCATGCAGTCTTCCTCTAAACATGTTCGAATGATCCATTGTATTCGCTCTTGGTGTGCCGTGGATTAGCAACATGAAACGGTATTCTCTAAGCCGCCTGCTGCCTTCTGCGTGCTGTCCTCTGAAGGCGGAAGCATCGGGTCAGTTTTTGTTGAAAGTCTTCGCTGATAATGTTCGCTAGATGACGTTATTGTTGGTCGGTTGAATCTTTTGGTCTCCCTATTGTCCTGACGGCACCGAAGCTCAAGCGGCGATATAAAGGAATATGTTCTGTACCGCACGTTGCGCTCCTCAGGGGACCGTCGTCACGGAACTACAAGTTGTATATACACCAAAGTGGTGCTTCTATCGGGCATAAAAAAAGAAAAACATTAAAAATCTGCTTTTTAAATATAATTTTGGCTCACGCCTAATAATACTTCACAAATTAAATTAGTTGCTGAGTTTTAAATTTACACGTAGTACCGCTACAGTGTGTTCTCAGGAAATAGTGAACCAATCGTTCAGTCCATCACTGACAAGAGATTGACTGGTAAAAGTGGGAAATCGGATTCTATCCACACACTATCTAGCTCGAAATGTGTTTTGAGTTGGATATTGGGAGCTGGGTTATTACATAAAGAACGCTATGGCTCTGCCAGTTATCTAGAACTAATACCGCTGCAGCACATTATGATGAAGTAGCAAATGAACGTGTTAGTCCGCGAGTGCTTGGCTGCTAAAAGGGCATAATTTGTTTTTATCCAAAGGACAACACTCGAGATGTGTTTTGTGTGGGCTGTTGGGAGCTCTGTCACAACTAAGGTTCCGTGTTTCCGGACAAACCCGAAAAAAATCCGGAAGAAAACACTGGCCGGTAAAGTTTCCGTCAATTTATATTCAACCGAAGAACTCAGAATTTCCAGTTCACAACTACAAAATAAAAAGGAAAAAGGCGGTGTTTTACAAATAATTTTGTAAGAGCATACATGGGGTTGGAACTTAAGTTTTCTTTCTCGAACTACTGAAAAAAAAAAAAAAAGAGAGTTTGCCTTTTAGCTCGTAAAGGTTCCTTCAGGACAAAGGGTCATGGAACCCGAACTCTATTTATTTTGTTTTGAATTTTTAAAAATTGGCAACACAGCAAAATAAATCTTCAGTTTCATAGAATTGGAAATCTAATCAAATACACTCCGATATGCCCCAAATTTTCAGCGAAAAATAAACTCCGAAAAACACACTCCGAATTTCATGACAAATAAACTCCGAAAACACTGCCTCCTATGCTTCGTTTCACCCTTGGTCCGAGAGCGGCCGATGTTATGAGCCGAAGGGTCAATCAAACAGCGAAAGAGGCACAACGTCATGGCGTGCTCTCTGCAGTTGATAGAACTAGCCGGCGGGAAAGCACGCACAGAGAGACGGCAAATATCAACTGGTCCCATCAACTGCAGAGAGCACGCCATGACGTTGTGCCTCTTTCGCTATTTGATTGGCCTTTCGGCTCATGACATCGGCCCCGCTCTGAGCGAAGCTAAAACGAAGTATAGTCATAACCTCCTATACTATAATGTATAGCTATAGTTGCCACCAGAAATTAGTACCGCTGCAGCTCATCTTGATGACATTGGCGAGGAGATCGAACTATGGGGCTGCTGTTTCATTATCACCGTCATCACCAGAAACAATCGCTGTGTGGTAAACAATTTCGACGCTAGAACTTACCTAGCGTACACCGCATCGCTTCTGCGCTCGCTGCATGTTTGTTTTTAGCAATATGGTGCGCACTTTCTGCGTACCGCAGTGCTCGAAGCGTGCTTTTGAATCGGGCATATGCAGCGCGGAGGACTGTACCACGTACGCGACGATGCGGATGCCCTCAGCGATTGTGCAACGCTGCACTCGATACATGATCGCAGTTGAGCACGTCCTCTCCTTCAACGAGACACCGCTTGCTTTCGCCGATGTCGTCCATGATTGTCGCAAGAGACAGGGTAACTGAAAAGGGATGTGCGTGTTTTGTGAATCATTCAGAAAAACACGCAGTGGCCACTCACGATCCAGTGCGCGCAGCCGACACGACGCTGCTGGCCCGGCACATTCGCGCGTGACAACATATGCGCTTGTTTTGCCTTCCAAGAGAACCTCCATGACATTGAATGCAAGAGAGGACTAGATTACTTCTATCTAGATGAGTTCGGGAGAAAAGAATATTGTTACACACCTTTCACGAGCCTTGCGTTGTCGTCTTCCATGGCAGCGAATGCACTAGTGACTGCGGTCGGAGGGTTTGTTCGCCACACAGCGTTAGTTCCCGAGGTGGCCCCTAGGGAGCGCCACTCCTCGACCTCCTTCCCAATGGTGAACGAACGCGTCAGTCCACAACCGCTTGACTGCTAAAAATGCAAACTCCGTCACTAAAAAAAAAAAAAAAAAAAAATGGTCGAGACGTGTTTTTTGCTTTCCATGTCGCTTATCTTGAATCTTTCTTTTGCAGGAATTGATGATGCCCGGTGTACACAGCCCCGACCGGCTGCGCAGGCCCGCGTCAGGGCCGGGTCAGGCCCTGCGGGCGTGACACCCGGCCCGGAACCATGGCAGCGTCCGGGCTGCCACCGCCTCCGCTACTTCTACTCCTGGCGGTAGCCCTCGGCCTCGCCGGGGCCGAGTACCTCCAGGAGTTTGAGGTCTTTGAGGGCGTTCCCGTCGGCACCACGGTGGGCTTCATCGGCCAGAGCGCGGCCACCCAGCCGCCGCCAGCGCCACCCTACCTCATCGTGCCCGTGCCCAACTCCGCCGTTGACGCCGACCTGAGCATTGACCAGGCGACGGGAGAGGTCCGCACCAACGTGGTGTTGGACCGCGAACTGCGAAGCCAGTACTCCTTCGTGGCCATCCCGCTGAGCGGCGAAAACATCCGGGTCTCGATTCGCGTCCGAGACGCCAACGACAACGCGCCGGAGTTCCCGTCCTCGTTCATGGCCATCGAGTTTCCGGAGAACACGCCACGGGACGTGAAACGGACACTGAGTCCCGCCCGGGACCGCGACCTCGGAGAGTTCAACACGCAGCGCTACGAGATCGTGTCGGGCAACGTGAACAACGCGTTTCGACTGTCCTCGCACCGCGAGCGGGACGACGTCCTCTACCTGGACCTGCAGATCAATGGATTCCTGGACCGCGAGAACACGCCGTTCTACAGTCTCGTCATCGAGGCGTACGACGGCGGCCGGCCGCCCTTCAAGGGCTCCATGACCGTCAACATCACCATCCAGGACGTGAACGACAACCAGCCCATCTTCAACCAAAGCCGCTACTTCGCCACGGTCGCAGAGAACGCCACGGTCGGTGCATCCGTGCTTCGAGTGTTCGCCACGGACGCGGACTCGGCGGAAAACGGCCGGGTGAGTTACTCCATTAACCGGCGGCAGAGCGACCGGGAGAACATGTTCGCCATCGACCCGGACACGGGAGTCATCTCGGTCAACAAGCCCTTGGACTTCGAAGCGAAAGACGTGCACGAACTGGTCGTGGTCGCCAGGGATGGCGGCGACCAGCCACTCGAGACGACGGCCTTCGTGTCCATCCGCGTGACGGACGTGAACGACAACCAGCCGACCATCAACCTCATCTTCCTCAGCGACGACGCTTCTCCCAAGATATCCGAGGACGCGCGGCCGGGCGAGTTTGTCGCCAGGATCAGCGTGAATGATCCGGACTCCAAGGAGGAATACGCCAACGTGAACGTGACGCTGCGAGGTGGTGACGGCCACTTCGGCCTCACCACGCAGGATAACATCATCTACTTGGTAATCGTGTCCCATCCCCTGGACCGGGAGACCCGCTCCAACTACAGCATGGTGGTGACGGCCACCGACAAGGGGAGTCCTCCGCTGAACACGTCGCGGGCCTTCGAGCTGGCCGTGACGGACGCCAACGACAACGCCCCGCAGTTCGACAGAGACGTGTACTACGCCAACGTCCTGGAGGTTGCCGATCCGGGGACGTCGGTGCTGCAGTTATCGGCAACCGATCGGGACGAAGGCAACAACTCGCTGGTGCGCTACTCGATTCGCGACACGCCGGACACCTATTCGCAGTGGTTCCGCGTGGACGCCCGCACGGGGCTGGTGACGACGCGCACACACATCGACTGCGAGACCAGCCCCGTGCCCAGAGTGACCGTGGTGGCCACCGACAGCGGGTCACCGCCGCTGTCGGCCAGCGCCACGGTGCTGGTGACCATCAGTGATGTGAATGACAACGAGCCGATATTCGACCAGAGTTTCTACAACATCACCGTGGCCGAGGATGAGCGCGTCGGCAAGTGCATCCTCAAGGTGAGTTATTCTTTCCTCTTTGTGATCACAGGTTCACGGTCATCGGCGGATTGTTTTTCTTGTTTGTAGGAAACGGGTGAGTTACGATTTCCATCGCGTGCTTTCGAACATACTCTGACAGCCTGGCGTTTAGACGTCTAGACGCTGTTAATATCGGGCTCGCTTGTGCGAGCTGGTGGGCGAGCCTGCCGTGATTTCTTTTGGTACTGGCTTGTTAAGTACCGACATTTCCACAAAAATACCCAGTTTTTTTGTGGTTTTTTTTCTGGGGGGAGGGGGGGGGGTTGGAATTGGGTGACTTGGTAGCTTCCGCAATTTCCGGATTGCAGGAAACCCAATTTAAGCGAAGCATAAAAAACATTGGAATACGAAGTACGGTTACTTGATAGTTCCGTCTGTTTGCTTCGGTAGTACTATTAAGCATCAAACGCGTCAACCAGCCCAAGAAACTTTCCGACAACGAAAGGCTTTGTCCCTTTACTTGTTTACACTGTTTATTTAAATATAGATCGGCTTGTCCAGTTTGTTTAGTTCTATTCAAACTCTACCTTCGAAGAGGTATGGCTGATTTCACTACTTTGGGTGAGAACTTTTTCGCAGTAAGCAGCATTTGAAGCAGTCGAACCAAAACGTACAGAAAGTCAGGAGTCGATCGGCCTCCTATAAAATTCGAACTTAACGAAAATGTTGACGAAATCCTTTCCGCGCAAACTCGACCCTTCGCCATTTTCGAAACTTTCTTTCGACCTCCGCAGTACCATACTTTGAATTTCGGAACGCTCGCGACTCGGACCAAACGACACCAAGAAGACATAACCGACGCTCGTGTTTAGACAGCGTAAGATCGGTCTGCCTTTGAGGTACGGCGAGACTGGTTTACTCTGGGAATGAGAAATTTAGCCACAGGAGTACGACTACTAGCCTGGGGTATTTAATGTGCATCACGCAGCAGGGGTACACGAACGCGCGCCGGTACGATGGTCATCGAGATCGAAACGGGCAGGGACGGGGATCGAACCCAGGATCCCTGGGTTCTGCAGCTCGTGCTTTAGTCCCACGTCCGTCCAAACGACGCCCCAAGCGAGCCGGTCACAAAGCAAGCGTCACGACGCCACCGTCTCGTTCGTTCCGCCGACAGCGACGAAAGTGCAGTGCATGCAAAGGCCAGTGCGGCAATTCGAGCGACGTCGTGAAGGTCGAGGGGGTCGATTCGCGTCACTGAGGGACACTGTCGGCCGTCGCTGCCGTGGTTGTCAAGTGGCAGTCGACAGGCCGTAAATAAGCGGTTCTCGGTCGCTGCGCCGTCACGTCGTCGTCGCCTCTTCCACTCGTTCCGTGCTTCGCGGTATGTGGCCAAGACGCCAATTGTCGCCTGCTGCTACCAGCAGAATTCTTTTGGGGAGCGATGATCTCGGCCGCCATTACTGTATCGTAGACGTTCCGTGAACACTGGGAATTCCCGAAGGCCCCCAATTTTCGCCTTGCAGGGATGTTGTCGCCGCCTCGCGGATTTTGAGCGATCTACTGTACGAAGTATGCGCGGCGGGACGCTTGAACACAACAAACGTATCATCTGCTTTATATATATATATATTTTTTTTATTGTTTAAGTTTGACATGGCGGTTGTGAGGAACAGATACATCGTGCGCTCTAAAAAAACGCCTGTGAGTTCTGTTTTTTGCAGAACACGGAAACAGCCATTCGCGGCGAACAATAAAGTAAATCCCAGCAAATGATAAAACATGAAATGCAATTAGAAAAAAAAAAAAAAAAAAATGCGGTGTGTGCCTGAACAGTGAGCCTGACCGTTGCATTTACTCACTTTCTCGGCGCACATCGCATTTCTCAGATCTAATCGTATTCCCAGCTTCGTCATTCGCTATCAGCCCTCTACTGTTAGCTGTGATTGGCTCTCTCAGTGTTCTGCAGGGAAGTAAACTCACAAGTGTTGTTATTATTTGTCTGTGTGTGTGTGTGCGTGTGCGGCCGTAACAGACATTGTGTCCCATAATGATGTTCCAAAGAGCCTGAATTCGCCGAGGTGCTGAATCATTCTAGCTAGCGGTGAAGAACGTATACATGAGACCCGGGTCAGTGACAAGCTGACAAAAAACGCTGTGGGGACTGAACAGCGAGACCTTGAGGGGGAGAAGGAGGCGAAGCGCGCGAGGACGACAGAACACCGAGCTCTGGTTGGAAGGATTAGTGGGTAGGGGCAAAGCTAGCTTCCTTTGTCTCCACTACACTCGTCGAACGCCGAACGCGGGACAATTTCAGCCGTATAATCAGCGACTGATTAAGAATAGCAGAGCTTGGTTTATAGAACGTAGACGCTTTTTGTTTCGTGACCTTTCCTTCAGTGCCGTTATTGGAGAATGCCGCATTCTGATTAGCTCTGGAGTAACAGCAACATTCTCAATACTCGGCGCGCTCTCCGTTTCTTAAGCTGACTCATAGATAAACCACCCAGGTGAGCATTGTTGGAGTGAAGCAACTACTAGAGTGTACAAAGACTAGAGGGAAAAAATCGCTTAGGACTACGTTGATGCGCCTATAAGCGCAAAGCTCTTCTTGCGTTAGAAGTCTTTTGGCAAAACGAATTCTAGCCTTTTTGTGTGGCACCCGCATAGCACAAATACCACAAAAAAGCGATCACTGTTTTTCTTTTTTATAAATCTTTTACGATTAAAAGTCCGGCATACAATCCCCTAGCGTGGTGAAAGGTGCTCATTCGGGGCGTCGATTTGGAGCCATAAAATTGGGCGCGTTCCTCGCGATATTTGTACGTTTAAACGCGAAAGAGCGGCGATGTTCGTGTTCGCGATAAGCATGTGACAAAGCGTACACACGACGTGTTTCAACACCGGCGTGCGCGTGTTGTTACAAAAACAGCCGTGTCACAACGTAAAGAAAGGATAAAAAAAAATTAAAAAGACGCAAGAGTTGAAAAGAAAACCCCAAAAAACGGAGTCTCGAGGTCCATTTTTTGAGAATCTAGAGCTAGGGCTCGTTCACACAATTGTGTCGATTGCGTTGCGGCGTGCAGCACAGTGCTTTCCCATTGGCTCGTCGTAAGGGTCACTATACACTCCGTGCGACGCGACTGGCGCGCCGCCGCGCGGCCGGTACCGAAGGTAGGCAGTGAGAACCCCAGAGAAAACGAAACCGAAACCAAGCCACGTACGTTGGTACGCATTGAAGTCGGAATGGTGCGGTTGCGCTGGGTTCACAGCCTGTGCTGCGTCATTAAGTGCTTCAATAGTTATGCGTCGTATCTCGTGGAGACAAAGTTTCACAGTTTTTCACCTCGCCGATGTTTTGTGGGACAGCGACAACGATAGAGCCGTGCCGCACGACGCGAGAAATTTGGTGTCCCGATCATGTCTGCCACTGTGTCGGCACGGCTGACATATTCTACACTGCCGCTTTGCGCTCTGCGTTTGTTTTCGTACCAGTAACGCCAACATGTGCCAGCGCCGATGGGACTAACTGAAATGCCATCCCACACTCGCGGGTATGCAGTGCCAATTTCGTTGGAGGAATGCCCTCCAAAGAAATTTCGTCCCCATCATACGTGTCGATGATATTTTCGGACAAATATGGCACGCATTCTGAACTTCATCAAGAAAGATTCCAACGATAAAAAAAGTGACAAATATAAATCTAAAGAAAACAACCATGAAACTCGGAATCACTGGAGAATCGGCGTTTGAGTATGCAGGTTTATGTGGTGTGCTTTCCTTCTTGATCAGCCTCCTTTTGGATGTGGAAACACTGACATCCCGAGTTCTGTAGACAACATTTTTTTTTCTCGGCTTTAGAGCCACCTATCGCAAAGTGGTTCGAACTGGAAGTACTGTCCACGTTTCCCTTCGTACCTGTAAAGTGTGCACCTCCCACGATGAGTGGTATTTTCTGACAGCCTTAGACGGTCAAAGCCAGTTCCCATTTAGTTACGCCGCCCAAACTAAATTTCCACCTGGTTTTGCTATGCCAACTATTTTTGGTATAATAAGTGTTGTGCCAAGTGACGATCATGTCAAAGTACCTGTGGGCCGAAAATCAGCACCTCGCACAACAGCCTATTACACAACGGCTGACCGCAAAAGCACTTGGCGGCCAAACCGTGTGTTGGCCGACAACTTTGTTTTCTCGGCTTTTTAACCACCTTTCGTAAAGTTGTTTCAATTGGAAGCACAGTCCACTAGTCCCTTCCTACCTCTAAAGTCTCCACCTCCCCCGACCAGTGGTATTCTCTTGACAGCCTTTTCATGGTCAAAACCGGTTCCCGCTGAGTTACGCCGCCCAAACCAAATTTTCACCTGGTTTCCATATGGCACCTTTTTTTTTTTTTGTATAATAAGTGCTGTGTCATGTTACTGTCAAGTCTAAGCACCTGTGTGCCCAAACCTGCACTTCGCACAGCCCGCTATAACATAACATTTTTCGTCCAATATTGGATATACCATACAGCCTTATTTCTTTATTCGTTAGAAACAACTTTCACACCTCTAATGAAACTTAGCACACCTCGTGCAGAAACTTAGAGAACATCTCACTCGCCTCCAATATCATCGTTCCGGCAATCCCGTTTACAGCGACGAGCAAAATAAATATCTCACTCAAAGCAATTATGGTGGCGGCCGTCTTGCTTTTCGGAAAATTGCTCCAACTCCTTTTTTGGCCGCAACTAAGGAAATTACCCCTAATAACGACTCAAACTCAATATATAAGAAGTAGAGAACAGCTAAATGACCTTCTTAGGCCTGCCTCAGCACTCATGCAACGTCACAAACCCTAAACGTATCGGCTCAAAAAGCAAAAGTTTCGTCCGTGCGCGCTTCCGCCGCCACAGCTTCGCATGCGAAAAGGCGCCGCAGGCTGCTGAACGGGCCTCACGGTCGAACGCCAGCTCCTCCGCTAGCGGCGCTGCGCGCGTTTTTCAAAGCGCCCCCTATAGTTCCCGCACGGAGTGTATAGCAAGAGCTCGACGCAAGCAGTCTTAACGCGGTCCAACGCGACTGTGGGAACGAGTCTCTACGCTTTAGAAAACGCAGTGGCGCCGTTTACGAAAACGAACCTAAACGTCTCGCGAAGAAGCGCTGAGACGGCTTCAATGAAATGACCAATGGCTCTTTGCGTCGACCACTCATTTGTCAAGTTCCAGGCATAGTTGCACGAACAGAGGTTCAAGACCTTACTTAAAATTGAGAAACACGAGCATTAAAAATATTTGTTTTTCTTTTTTTTATGGGCCACTTCGTTTTACAGACTTTATATCTAAGGACGGTCTATGTGCTATTTGGAGCACGTTTATAGGACGACACGAAGCACGTCCTCACAAAGAATTCGCCTGCTATTTAAGGAATGCTTCGAGGTTTCTTCACCAGTTCCGCTCCATATACGACAGGGACGTGTCTATGGCTCTGCTAGAAAACTTCTCACCGCTCCGAAGGCCTGAAAGGCAAACAGCGGGAGAGCCGGCCATTATGTCGTAAAAAAGAATGCAGACGCAACCCGCAGAGAGCTACCGCTCTATGATCGTTACCTTTCATTTAATCAGGCGGCAAATAAAGCGGCACCGCTATTTATATACACAGTAGAGCCATCAAAAGACAGCTGTTAACGATCTGACCGGCGTCTCTTTTATTCTTAGAGCCTAAAGAGGAAACTAGAAACATTTGGCCATCGTATGTGTGTCGAGGAAAGAAAATGGCGGCAAAAAGGGCCTTCATAGCTTTGCGTGGAACCGAGCAGATCCATCTTGGACTGCCATAGCTTGACAACGCAAGGTCGCGCCTGGCCCGCGGCAATTAGACTTTAGCAGCGATG